TGTGCTTTCAGAGTGAGTTGGCGACTGAAGTAGTCCTGCATCAGACAGTTTGCCTAGATAGTAAAATTTGCTATCAGAATGCTCACCTTCATCACTCATTTTGAAGAGAACAAAATTTTGCAGCAACAAACTGTTTTTGTGATTAACTCGCATCAATTCTGCCATACATGTTTCTAGTAGGGCTGTATGCATTTTTAGTAAGGCCGTACGTGTTTTTCCGGCCCTATCACTTCAATGCATACAGCCCTCATACAGGACTTTTTTAAAGGTTTTCCAAGGAAATTGTGTGTGGGGTCGTACGGGTCATATGATAATACAAATTATGTGTGTGAACAAGTGAAAAAAGCACTTGAGGTAAATCTTCCTTGTGCTGCACATTTATATAGATCCTCCTAAAATTCAAGAAGGCAATATGTTGGAAATTCGATATCAAATAATTCCAGTAATTATAGGCAATTTACTAGTGACCAAAATTTCAGAGTGAAATATTCTCTCCATGTTTTCCAAATAAAATACACATTGAATGCATTGCTGACAAATGAACTGCAATTTCTTATGGGGGTGTAGAATCCCCTCAAACATGACTGTACAAACTGGGACACTTGATGCATGTTAAAATAAGTGTAATTGTTCTCTTTTTTTGTTCTACAGGCTGTATAAAGAACTGAGTAATGGAGAATTATCAACTCTGAAAACATGTCAACTCCTATCAGAACATGAACAGTCGCTGAANAACCATTTTGCATTATTTTCAGCTCAACTGCTTTGTCATTCTCATGATTGACTACCACAATATCCATGCCAAGAAAGTGCTAACAAAACTGATAACAGCTGTTCACATGGTTTCTTGCTTGTTGGATAGCCACCCAACAATCCCTGCAGTACCACAACTTCAGCAAACACCAGTTCACACGCCTGTTAAGATAACAATAAAAGGGCAAGAAGTAACATGTTATGGTGGAATAAAAAACAGTGTTATAGTGCAAAAAATGCATCAGGCCCTTGTTAACATGAGAAAACCATTTATGAATCAGCTTCCCAGTGCGATGGTTCATCTAAGCCCCAACCAGCTACAAGAATCCCTAAGACAACTAAGGCAAGTTTCAGGGAAATGTCACAAATTGAAAATTGAAAAACATATTAAGACAAAATAACAACATTTTAAGGCATTCAAAAATTATGATACCATAAATCATGATCAGGTAGATACATGTACTTACTATATAATTCATCAACACCTGACAGTTGACATTAAAATAAGTGTAATTGTTCTCTTTTTTTGTTCTACAGGCTGTATAAAGAACTGAGTAATGGAGAATTATCAACTCTGAAAACATGTCAACTCCTATCAGAACATGAACAGTCGCTGAAGAGTGCACAGAATTACAAGGACTGCTTTCAAAAACTATTACAAGAATGCCCTCCACTAGGAAACTATCTTGAGAAAAATGTGATACCATGGCCAGCTGACTGGCCAGGCTGGTACTATCCAAAAAAGAACATTGCTCTGGGGAAATGCAAGTATCTCGGGCAGTCTGTTATCCCTGAGCAAGGACAGTTCAATGTTTCTCTGAATGCAGCAGAAGATACAGTTATCATTTTCAAGCATTTCTTTGACATGCTCTTCAAGACTGTTTTTGGGACAGATCTTCCCCGCAAGCCCAAATCATACAAGGTCACACTATGCTTAACTGCTGCTCTACTGGGCTGGCTGCAAATCTGAGAAAAAAGTTCTGCAGAAATTCGGAATCTGCAAAGACCATAAATATGTTTCTGTCATCTATCTACTTGAACATCTGCTTCCCTTGGTATTCTTCCAGTACAAAATCTTTAGGGGTGGGGATATTGTAGAGTATGAAAACCTAATGGTACAAGTGGCTGTGCTTTTTATCTGCTGGGAGAGAAGACACTATAATAAATCTATTTTGTACTTTCTGAGC